CAAACTTTGAATTTGCATTCCACTCATTAGGCCCCTTTTGTCTTAGACGCATTCGTCGGATTATATTGTACTTAAACGCGTCTTATAAACAGTGCTCATTTGCTATTATAATGTTCTCTCAGAAAACAAAACAACTGGCTTAACTGACGCAGACACTTTATAGTGTTCTGTTGCAAAACAGCAAAATATTTATTCAATTTGGACATTTATATTATGCCACTAGTTCAATATGCTTGTGCTAACTGCAGTTTGCAGTTGTTCGGTACACCGCTGTATAAAAATACTTGCTTTGGAGCAGGATTTTTATACGAAACCATACTGAAATCGTCGTCTCTTATGGAAACCTAATTAGTGGGAAAGTTTTGTGAATATAGAAACTTAGGGAAGCAAAATATCTCACTAACAGTTATTCTAAAAGAAAGTTTTTTGATTTGGCAGGATTCCAAAATCACACCTGACTTGATAGGGAAGATATTCAACCAATTTGTCCACTCTTTCAAACTGCATAAATCTTTATTGCTGCAAGCCAATTTATTTTTGTTTCAAACGTTTTTTACTCCAGTCCTTTTTCTGTCAGTCTGCGTTATTACAAAACTTCCGTACTTCTGATAAATTTCGTACACGGTGGACAACAAAACGAGGCAATTCTTTAGAAGTTTGACTTCTTCTCAGTTGAGCAAAAATTTTGAAATTTGTACTTTTTTTATGGAGTACCTACGATTTTTGTACTTCAACCGCAAAGGCATAAAGTAGGATTTCGTGCCTCAAAACTGTTTTTATGCGTTTCCTTATTTCTTTTATTTACAGAGTGATCTCAAAAAATAATTTTTCTGGCGTTATGGTGGTGAAATTTTTTCTCTGGGCCGATTTTGGATATCCAGAACGCATGCTAAAGCTCGTAAACTTAACTCAATGGACTTACTGGAACTACTAAGACTATATTCTACATAGATGCTTGCAGGAATGAGCGGCTTATTTCAACGCAAACCTCACTTTAATTGAATTTCCGCCGGCTTTTGAAGGCAGTTTTCATTTGGGTCACTTTTAATGGAACCCTGTATATTGACATTCCTTCTTTCGTCGACTATGAAGTTTCAACTTCAACAAGAACCCCAAGTTTTTAAAATCGGTCCAAGAGTAAAAACGTTGGAAAAAAAGGAAAGTTAATTTTCTGGGAACGCCCTGTAAATAAAAATATAGGTAAAAAACAAAAGCCATTTTGATTTATGCGCTCTATATTGATGCATTTTGCGTTGAAATAAATAGAAATATTTTGTTGTTCAACTGGGACTATGCCGAATATTCGAAAACTCCGCATTGTTTCAAATCACACCCTGTAGAAACTTTATCTAAAGTACATCATTTTTATGTTAATAGCGGGAGAATCGGGCTCAATGCGACTTCAAACATAAATAAAATTTCAAAGTTAGGAAAATTTGGGCGTCCAACTTTTCCCTGTTGAGCAGTTTGGTTTAATTCAAATTTAGTGAATCATTTAATCATTGCTTTGAAGCTCTTGCTCCTATGGTGGCAAAAAGCACTTATATTTCGCAGGCTATTAAAAATTAAAAACAAATAAAAATTAACACTCAACCACTTGCTTAACGCCACTATGTGGTAATTTGCGAAGGACCGCGATCGCTCCTACAAACGATTATCCATCAAAAGCACACAAAGCAGTACATTTTGTTTCCGAAAAATATCAGAGCTCTCTTAGTTCACTAATTGAACTTTAAAAATTTACAAAAAATTCTCCAGGCTGTATACAAATAATTAATTGGCACTAAGTAAAGTTGCATTGTATTTTCTACAAATTGGTGAACTTACACAGGAGCTTCCATTAGTCAGGTTTCCGCCCTAGTAAAGTTAGCTGGACAATAATGAGCTTATATCCGAGAAAATTACAATCTAAAGGCTCCATAATAGGTGTTGTGTAGTGAAGTTAAGAACGCCTAGTAAAATTTCGAAATTGTTCGGTCATGTAATAAAACGCCTTTTTTATTAGTAAATCCTTCAGCTGAATCGGATCCATGAAACTTTCGTGTTTCCCAAATTGAAAATCTATTACCGCTTGCGGGAAACGATTATAGGAGCGTTCATGGATTAAGGCCTGTTCGACTTATTTGACTTGTCTGCCTGAATAAATCACTGTCGCGTGTAATTTGTATCTGTTGGAGACAATTTGAATAAATACATTACACATGCAGTGATTTAATACATTAAAAACATTCGTTCACATAACAGCGATTGCATCTGCTGAACAATAAATGTCAATGGCGATGATAAAACAGTTTTTTTACATCGAAATTGGTTTCCAGTATTGCATTCGTTACGTTATGTCCAAGTCTCCTCCATGGGAAACTGATTGGAAAACCAATAAATTCATGAAACTCGAACATTTAATTTTGATTGCATTCTGTGTTATATACCTTTGTTTATTTCAGTTGCAAAAATGCGTTTCTGCACCCGGAAAATTTTCTTTGCTTTGATGCAACCGGGAATTGCAGTTAATATTGTGAAATTTTCAAATTTCAGAATTCAAATTGTCTCTAAAACCTGACTATTGCTCACAATAACATAACAGTTTTGCAAGATTTATTTTCCAAAAATATTTCTGGCAGAGTATCATCCGTAGATGTAATAGATTCCCGAAATCGAGCTCCTTTTGAAACGTCGATCCTATGCGATTTTACACGGGGATATAAAGACATCAATTTCAGAATCAGGCGAGTCAAAATTGGAACGCAATAATATAGGGATTTCAATATTCACAGCTTTACAGTCAGATTCCATTTTATATTTTACGATTGAACGCCTGCAGAAACCACCCGCTTTTCATTTAATTTCACACTCGATTGCTGATTTCTTGCTGATTTCAATGCTCATTTAAGCATGCCAAGCTTTGTTTTTCTACTTTCCAGACGTTGAAACGAAACGAAATTTTGTAGCTATTGAAAATTTATCAAACTGTTAGAAAGACTTGAAAAGTAAATCTGGTTAATAACCAGCAATCGATAATTTTTTCCCTCAACAAAAAATGTTCCTACAAGCATACGCCGACAGGAGAAATGTAGCCCTAAAAGTTTTTTTCCTTCAACTTCCATTTCCGGACTTACTCTAAGTGAAGCACATTATTATAATGATAGTTCCTCTACTCTACACAATTTTTCATATTTTTGCCACGCGTCAAGAAAAATTGTTAAAATTTCTAAGAATACACGGTTATATTTACTTGCCGAAGTCCTTTTATATTGTTTTCGATTTGCTTCAAATGAATGTAAGTGAAATAAACAATATCTTGTAAATCACAGTTGCGTGCTTTTTCTCATGTGGAATGTTATCAAGCCAAATGAGGATTGCTTTGCAACAGACAGACTTTTACGAAAACAGATTGTCATCAGATTCCATTCTGTTTAGTTGTCGCTTTTATCGTTGGCCATAGCAATTAAAGACCTAGGAAAATAAATAATGAATCCTTGTAGTTTCAATCGTTCTGGGTATTGCACGTCATAGAATGTATAAATAACATTAAAAAATCGTTCAACGAATTATACGAGAAGACATTATGGGAGCCTTTTGCATGTGCTGGTGATTTTGTTCACTAAAATTTAATAGTTTGCATTCGGGATTTTCCAGCCGTTATGACGGCAGTAGTCAGGAAACTTTTAAAAGAAAACAATCAAAACTTTGGAATTGTTCTCTCTGCACACTTATTTTATGTCTGGTGATTAGAAGCGCACTTTTGCTTACATCAAAAGGCTTCCAATCCAATATAACTTGGTCCAAGTTTAAATCGCAAGTTCCATCTAGCCATTGTATGTGCATTTCGGTCCAACATTGATCAATCAAGGAGCAGGTTGAGATATTCGCAGGCAATTTGAAGCAAATTCAGTACATGGGATGTTTTGGAAAAGTTGTCCATGTGGAAAACGTCTTTGAAACGTCCAACTTTTCCTTTGCAACTTTAGGATTTTTTTCCGAAAAGGACACGAAGTGTTTATCAACGCCGTTAAATGTAATACCTGAGTAGTTTTACGCCTAAAAGTTTTCTTATTTCGCGAAAAATTGTCAAAGTTTGCGACAAAGTTTCACACTTTACGAGCTTCAGAAGCAAAGTGAGGACATTAAATTAAACAGCTCATTTACTCCACTCTCAAATTCTCAAAACTGCCTATCTAGTCGTATATATTAAATTTATATTTTTGTATTTTGCTTAAAGATGTTGATGCTTGAATTCAAATTCAAAAAAGGAAGAATGAAAGGACGTTATTTCGTTGATTAAATCCAGATTCGAATAAGGATAATTGAATTTTTTTAGGGTTTTTATTTCTAGATATAGATATTTCTTAATTACCCTGTTTTATGTAAGCACACGCTTAATAAATTCTCCACATTTTTATGAAATAATATTGAAAATGGTTGGCTAATATCTTCAACTAAACTGTGGGAACTAGTGGGTCAAGGAAAAACTAATACTTCTCATTAATTATTCAATGCAATCGAAAACGCTTAACGGCATTGATTCAATGGATTTTGTGTTAAAATTATTATTTTCCGAAGTCCTGTTTCACTTTAAAAAATCTAAACTAATTTTTAATTCTAAACCCCCACAATTTATACCCTTATTTTTTAAATAACTTTAGGTGTATTCAACAAAATTGAGCAAATATATTCAAATGTATGCAATTTTAACAAATAACTCGCATTTTATACGTGTTAGATGCCGCATATAAAATGCTAATTGCAGCTTAAAACGGTTCTAATTGCGAGCTAAAGTACTGGTAAGTCCGCAGAAGGAAAATGCATATTTGAACTTTATTGGACATAATAGGTTGCTGTTGTCTAAATAAATTAGCCTGAAAAAACCGAATATTTAATTTGAAACGTATTTTATTACTTTGAAATTATTTTATATTTAAAATGGGATTAAATCATCTTTAAAAAAATGACTTCAAATAAGATCCAGTCTACACCAACTAAATCAACGGCTGAAAACTTACCAACACTTATCTGAAGCACTTTCTCGGTAAGTCATAGAACTAGCAACTAAACACCAAAGACCTTGTGGATAAATGCGCTCAAATGTTCGACTTTGGGTAACTTTCGAAAAACCGCAGAATAACAGCGTCTGCATCAGCGACGTCGCGACGGCAGCAGATTCGCAACTGTTTGGCGGCGCGTTGAAAACTTAACTCTGCAAACTTTGGCTCCAAAAGTGCGAGTCCGTGTTCCAGCGCAACTCCTTGGATGAAGACTAAGAGGATTGGCAAAGTGGGTTGGAAAGAAAATCGGAAACTTTGGCAAGAAAAAAGTAAAAATTAGGTGTAAGCCACAGGAATGGAGAAAAAACGAAACGCTTTGATCAGAAAAGAGTAAAAATTGGATGCCAGCCACAGGAATGGAAAGTTCTGATATTTTCGTATGTTCAGTCTTTCATGGTTTAGTTTTTGGCTTCATAAAGAAAGTGCTAAATTAGTAGATATATAAACATTTTGCAAAGAAATTGCCGCTCAACTCCAACCGTCTAGTCATGGTTATTTTTAATTTTTTGATGACCGGTTGGATAATTTTGGAAAAACCCAATATTCTTTGACTTACTGGAAAATCATATTTGGGTCAACAGCCTCAGTTTCTTTGCAAAATATTTTTTTATGAAAAACTTAGTCTCCTAAGTCCTGTTCGTTGATTTTAATCAGCACTAATTTCCATCCTTTTTTTTCATGGAATAATTCTGGTTTTTGTTGTGATTTTTCGTAAATTTAACAGTATATTGTCTGGCTTTTTCAATGTTTGTGGCGAATATCGCCGATTCACAGCAAATGTAGATCAAACAAGTCACAGTAATAATAAGTATTTGCCGATGATTATCGAATCCTGAATAAAGCAGATTGTTTGTAAATACAGCAAATAAAGTCAATATTTGATTTCATATAATTGTGCCTCTACGGCTGATCTAACAAATAATCGCTCACTAATAGGCCGGCAAGAGATTTTTCTGCCGTACTTGAAAAAATTGGTAAACCATACTTTACTCAACATCTCTCGAATAATGACGCAAGTAATTGAATTCGTCAAGCCTTTTCACGTTGTATGTAGAATTTTTTGCAAAGCAAAATGTATATTCATTCAGACTAAACAGAAACTCTAAAATATTCATATCAAGTGCGAATAACCCCACAGGGAGATAATGGCTGACCATAACGTTTACAAATTTCGTTATTTAGCCGAACATATTTTTACCGGATCGTATATTACAGGTAAAAAAGACATAAACATTAATTAAGGCTTCGCAAGGTGCGTACGTTAAGTACATTAATCAAGTAGAGCAGGATAAATAATTATCACTGAAATTAATGCAGCACGTGGTTATGATAAATGTTGTTTCATGTTCAAACATAAAAAATATGAAAATAGTTTCATTGATCATAGACCACATAAAACGGTATTTTTTACAATTATATCCTTTATGGTGCACGAAAGCAGCAATCAGTTGCACATCATGAAAAAGTAAGTGTAAAGTACACAATCAATCAAAGCCGGGTAATAATCCTGCAAATGTAATCCGGCTGAGCTTTGCATAGCACTATTGAAGCTTTTTCGTTAATTATTGCCAATATTAGTGTAGCTTTTAAGCTCCTTATCAATGTTATTATATATTAAATCCATCTGTACGCTGAATTATCGGTGTGATAAAAAAACAGATTCTCTGCTTTATATCGCCTTACCGCGTAAAAGTAATAATCGGTTAATATTAATTAAGGATTTTATCAATGAAAATGGTGCGGAAGTTCCCGCACTTTAGCGCCCAGGAAAATCGAAATTAAACAACCATCAGTGATATATTTACAGATATTTTATTTGAAAATATTGCAGCCACTTTGCGGCAAAAGCCCTATGAGGTTGGAACCCATGTTTCGTTATATCCATCAGCTACCGGAAAGTATTCCAAGTTTTGAGCAACGTCCAATTTCTTTTGCCACAACCCATTCCAAACCTCCTTGAGAAGCCCCTCCTGCAAGCAAACTCTCTTCACTTCGTAAGCTAAATAAGGCAGCCAAAGTGCTCCTTTGAACACCAGCAGCTTTAAAACGATCACTCCGAAAAGAACAGTGTGAAGACCAACGGTCACAAAGTAGAGCTTGATGAGGAGAACTATAGGAATGGCCCACCAAAGAAGCTTTTTATCGTGCTTTGAAACATGGTGGTGATGGACTTTTTCTGCTGCTGCTTCCTCAACTAGAAAGACAAAGGAAACGGTTTTTATCCAATGAAGTCGGGTCAAATGGCGAAATTAAAGAGCATTTGTTTGCTGCTAGTGGATTGGATTTTCCAGATGACGACAACTATCAGTACTTGTTCTAGAAAATGTAATACAAACAGATTCCGTTAACTTTAATGAACCAACTAAATCATTCAGTCTGGTAAATACATTGTGTCCATAGGGACTCAACCGCACTCGGGCTTTTACGCTTTTGCCATTGCCAAACTGTTTAGAATCCATGTGATATTAAACACAATGGATGTGTTAGTCGGTCGAACAACCGCAATAAACTACGTGAAAAGCTTCTGCAATTTCAGTTTATTCCCAAAACGAATAAAGTAGCACTTTAGTTCATACAAATTTTCATCCACACTTTGGCTGGATTTTAAACGGAACTTTTATTACCTAAAATTCGCTCCTTCAGTTAAGAGAGGTCACCATCGCATAAACGATCATAAAAGACAAAATAGCCGATCCAAAAATGTAGAAATTTGCTAACGAAGCTATCGGCATCACTGTTTGCAACTGATCTCTATCGTCTTTAAACAGATTTGTTGCATTATTGCTGGTCCTGCTCTTTATAATTAGCAGATTCATTAGAGGCATCACTGAGGTAGTGAGATTCAATCGGGTAAACTGTCTTTGTTCGATATCTAAAACAAGACAAACGGTGTTAGTAGAATAGAGATGTTGGTTAAAGAATCAGTTGCCTACAGTGATGCCTAAAAATGTTTCCACCAATAAACATTTAAAATGCTCCAAACTGCAGGTCACTAAACGTAAAGTTTTATGGAAAAATGTCCTCCTTATTACTGATATTACTATCCTATGACTGTTGAATCTTTAAAAACTGATTTAAAAACATTGTTAGCTTACATGAAATATAAACACAAACGACCGCAATTTGAAATGTGGGAGTTTAAATGAAACAAACAGTATAAAAAAATACTATTTAAATCTAATATCCAGGAATTGCAAGAAATTCGTCATTAAATATCAGGAACATTTTCTAAGTAAATCAGGGGCAATTCTTCCAGCTTGATATCAAGTAGGGTTTTTTTCATTTTCCATAGGGCCAATAAGACTTGTCGGTATTATCCTGTCTCCATCTACAACAAAAAATCGTTGTGGAATCTTTAGAAAGTCTTGGCCTAAAAACAATTTTGTATGGAATATTGAAAATGCTTACCCAAACCAAGTACTACCATGCGCTGGAGTTTCTTCGGCTGCGATAACCGGAACTTGATGATTCTTCTGACACGCCTGCTTAATGTGGCTCAACACTGATGGGAACACTATCGCTGTTACCAAGATTATTTTCTTGATGAAAAGCAAGGCGAAGAAAATCATGTTCACCAACAACATGATCTTCACAAGCTTTGCTAGAATTATTACGGAGAGAATGAAGATTTTCTTCTCTTTCATTTTGTGACCCCTCGCCGCTTCGTAGTCGAGTTCTGAAACAACAAGTGCTTAAAGATAATCTGCGGTTTCGTACTGTGGAAACATTGTAGTATAATAACAAATTTTTAACTTAACTGCCAAATGGACACTCACGAAAATCCTGCACTGGCACAAAAAATGGCACTCAAATTTCCCGATCTAAAATCATAAGTTAAAAAAATGTTATTAAACTATTAGATTGCTACATTGTCTAACTGAATCAATGTGAAATCAGTACGTTTGGAACTTATTCTGTTTGTTTGACTCGTTGTCGTTTTTTCTAATTTTTTAGCAGATTTTAACCAAATCTAAGATAAGGACCAGTTACTTTCCTTTTATTTTTTTGAAGAGTTTATGGAAGGTTCGTGAATCTATATCGAGCGCCTAATATAAAATATTAAACAAAAAACTAATATATGTATAGACACGTTTACTAAAGCTCAGACAATTTTGCCTTTCATATTTTTTATTCACGTGCTGTTGTTTGTGGGTGGGCGCAAGTGCTGAATCAGATTTGGTCCATATTTTATTGGTAGCAATGTTGTGAGGATGAAATTGTACAAAGCTTGTGGATCAAATAATTCCCGTGTTTCTTAATTTAAAGAAGTTTCCTCATATATATTTAGTCATCAACGTCTCTAAACACTACGAATGTTTTTTGTGATTATAATACTTCGTGCATTTTGGACATTTTTTAAGATTAAATTATCACATAAAATTCCACGTTTACTTATATGTTGTTCCATGTGTTTTCATGTCTTCCAAGGGTGATTAGTGACTCTGTTTTACATTTGGTTATTATCATTTGATTATTTCAAGTTTAGAATCTGACGATTCCGCAAATTTTATCACCCTTTCATTTTCTCCTTTTACTTCTCCAAGTTTCAATCTTCGTCCTCTAAAGGTTCTGATTCCCAGGTTTAACTTTTGGCTCGTCTTCTGCCAGTCTCTCTCTGGTCCATCTCACCACTTGATCATTTCTAACTTAGTCCCAATACGTTTTACAACTCACATTAATCTCTTCCCGTGTCGCTCAATTTTTTGGCTCAGTGTTTACGTGTTGCTTCTGAGTATTTTCATTTCGCCTTATTTTTTATTTATTCTGAAGAATTTGTGAACGCCTGCTCTGGTTTCTACTGCGTATATTAATACAGAAATAACACCAACTTTAGAATATTTCAGCTTTTTTCCCTTTTAGTTGGGTGGTTACAAGTAGTATTTGTTCTCTGCCATTATGATGGTGTCGTCGGGATTACAATTAATTGAGACTCGGGCTAATAATAAATTTTCTACAACTGTTTTTTTTTTAATGCTACCTTTACTGTTAAATTGAGAATCACGTCAGCCAAAGCGTTTTCTTGTAAAGAAAATAATTTTGTGACACATATTAATTAGTTCCTAGTTTGTAATCTATTGAAAAACAAATCTAAATATTAAAATAAATAAAAATACGTTTAATCGTTATCCACACTTTTTTATAGTGGCGTCTTCTTGTCGGAATTGATTTTGCGTTGCTTGTATTTTTTGGACCATGATGGGATTAAGATTGGAAGAGCCAGAATTGTTGTTCATGTGTTTTATTATAATTATAATGATTTTCAGCACATGCTTGGTTTGTTTTTGTTGCGCCTATTTTGTCGTTCAAGTTTGCAATGCGGTCTATGAAGCACATAAATAGGAATATCTGCTTTCTTTGACCGTTTCTCTTCAGGCCGAGTGTGAAGAGGTTTTATGATTGACCTATTTTTATTAGCTCTGGTTGATCTACTGATAAGTTGGCCATATTATTATGCCCCTTTTCTTTTTAGAATAGTATGTAAGTTTTTATATAATTTGTGTCCTTTGTATTTCAATTGCAATTTTGGTATTTTATCTGCTTCTTAATTTTTAATTCTTTCTGTGTTTTAATCCTTTGTCATTCTGTACTTGGTCGCAAGTTTTTCGTGTATATTCTAAAACTTTGAGTTTCTCTGCCTCAATATTATTCATAATCCCTCTTGGGCTTCGTAGAAGTCATGCTCTATTTCAGGGGCAAATTTTCCAAAACTGTTTTTGTTTTAGTTCCAATTTTCCTTCCTAATTTTCGGACTAGTTCTTTTCCTTTTTGGTAATAAGGATGATTTTTGTTGGTGTTTTGTACAACCCTTCCGGGACAATTGTTTTTTTATTATTCTGTTTATAACACAAAAAACAAGTTCTTTCTTCTGGTAAATATCCACTTGAGCTTTTTTTAGGCTTTTAAATTCAAGTCCAACTTTTTAATGGTTCAAAATGGTGGACAATTAATTTAGCCTATTATTCGGTTCTATAATATTTCAAACGTTATATTAGGTCGGTAATTGAACTTCTGCCCGGGTATTTAAAATGATAACTACTCATAGCACAATTTTCGGATATGCGCCCACATCATATAACGGTTTATTTTGTTGGCAACTTTATCGTCTCACACCATACACCAGGGATTCATTGAGTTAGGCAAATTCTAATTTATCTCTAACGATCATTTACAAACACTTTCTGGATAATTTACCTCGGTATTTTCCATCATTATTTATACAATTACGTATAATTAGTCTTGATTTTGAAATTTAACTGCAGCCCCAGATCTTGCCCGTAAATACGCAAAGAAACCATTCCCCACTGGATTTAATCAATAAAATATTTCTTTGATAGTATTGACACCAACCAAAGTAAAAATATGTTGTTACTTCCCTAATACCCTAAGAGCGAAACCTTTTCATCTACTTTTGGCAATAATATTTGTTGACAAATATACATAAACCGGGTTTTTTGCTTTTATTATTCACAAAAATCAGGAAACCGATGAGTGAAGGATAAATTTTGCCGGTAAACGAGTGCTGAATGATTGATTTTTCTAAATCAGGATTTCGAGTTTTCTTTCAACAAGCAATCGCTATAAACCATGCCTATTTCAATCAATAAAAAGCAGAAATTGCTTACTTTCATGTGTGTAGTAGGTGTAGATTGACTGGAAAAATACCGTTGAAAAAAGTACCCACTGCAGAACAGAGTATTTTGATAGTTTTTGGGGCCGTCCAATCATCATTATCTAAACTAAAGCTACATTTTCAATTACCATTGGATTTCTCCGTGAGTCCGCCTTCAGAATCGCTTAGGCTTCTTCCTTGGACAACCTGAACTCCCTCAGGCACTTCAAAAGCTATACCATGAGAGCCAAGAAAACTGATGAGCTTTCTTTGCAAAAACTTCACCAGTTTATCCCATTCACTGTCGTCCCTCATAAATCTGGGCGTCGATAATAAATCACTGGATTCCATTTGCGGTTTAACTTTCACTAGTTTCACTGCACTGTTTTCAGGCCCTTGATATTCGAAATCTTGAACGAATTTTGCGATTCGGAATGTAACACAGAAAAATGGCCTTTTGGTTCGGTAGCAGCCTTTATGCAAATGTTTCACGTATTCGTCCGATGAATGGATGGCTTTGATGAGGAAAAGAAGCACTGTAACTCGAAAGATCAGTCTTAAATAGGGCAATTTGAGCAACATGGTAAAATCGCTTCGATTCAGTTATTAAACTAGACGCAAATGGCTGAGGAAGTTTTTCGTTTCCAATTTATTGGAATCAAAGTGTATCAGTGGGTTAAACCAATCAACAAAATTCTCCTAAAGGGAGTAATTTGATGATTAGCTTACTAAATGACAACGCGCTTAGGTATCAAATATTGGCTGAAATTTTCACTTTCCTCATTTAAGTAATTAGTAATATTTGTGGCGCCCGCATAATAACGGAGCTGCAAAAGTTAATTCCAAAAAGTATCATTATAAAATTAATTTTGTACAGTTTTAATAAGCAAAAGTACCTACATTCAAGGGTTTTTATTTAACCATTTATGCCAATAATCCCCGGTGTTAACAATAGAAATAACATTATAATTATGTGTACTTTCCGTAAATATATTCAGTTGGTGTTTAAAAACGGAAAATTGCAATAATATGTGTTTCGTTTGTATTTTATATTGAAGTGCAAATATTGATCACAGTATTTAAATACATTAGAGGGTCTGATGCTTCAGAGAGGAAAACCGTCGCCTGAAATATTTAAATACATAAATTGTATATCGAGTGAGAGCGTATTGTTGCAACTGCATGTACGTAGAAAGCCTTGAAACCTACAGAAAATACAATAGAAAAACTGTTGATATTAATTTATATTTATATTTATTCGTGTTTTAGTTTTAAATACATTAATAAAGCCTTTTAGTCAGGGTAATCAGAAACACCGGAATTAATATTAAATTCTTAGACCTTTCAGGAGGCAATAGAGAAGAAATCTTCTTTCTGGCTGAAATAGAAAATAATTTATATAATTATATAAATTAACAAAAACCATTAGTATGTCGCCGATTTCGTGCTCTCGTTAATCCACATCTTCTGGTTTACTTATTAAAATTAAAAACAACTACAAACCTTTTTTGTGTCAGATTTTTGCCTTGATTTGGTTTCCTTGAGGCCTCACAGCAACTCACCAGCACGAATATCATAAAGCTGTTAAAACCAGGCCTTCAGCCGGCGTTGTCAAGTTTCCCATCCCGTTTCCGCTCTAAACATGGGATGGCAGGTAAATGTCAACAAATTAGACTTGAGATTGACAATCCAAGGTACAGAACAACTTATTTCCAAAAGTCTGACTAAAAGGTGTTTAGGAATGGTAGTTTTTAGCATTTTTCACAGTAAATTAAGGAAAATTTGTGATTTTACATATTTGTAGTCCTTCGGACGTTTATTCCTGCAATTCGTTATCAGTTTTCAACTAGAAAGATGAGTAATCACTACAATAATGGGGGCAGGGCTGGGGAGACTGAACAAATGGCCCAGCCCCAATATTTAAAAGTTTTTATACCTAGAGATTATACTGATGGAACAATCGTGAGATTCCAGAGAAGTTTTCCACAGGAGTTAGAAGGACGAGTAAGTAATAATTATGGAAACTTTGCAAGAAACTGGTTGGTCCATTTGAGGCTCTGTGAAAAATGTTTAATTTTTCTTCGTTACTTTAATGTACAATCCCCTAATTAATGTCAGCTTGTGAATCAGATAATTTAAAAGCAACAGCCTTATTTGAGTCATCGAAGGTCAGCTGTTAATTGAAACAGAAAAATAAATGGAAATTTTGTATGAAACTTCTAGATTAGCAAATAAATTATTTACAGTGGCACTTCTTATCGCAAGTGTAATTCATCTAAGCAAAGATTTTGCTAAGATAATCGCACTAAAACCAGATTTAAACAAACTACTTACAAATGATTCTTGCTGCTAAAATTCTTGTCGAAATCGTCATTAAGCTTTCCGGTGCTTCAACAGCCTATTAATTTTCAGCTGGAAAAGCAAACCTTCGAGTCAACAATTAATAGATTAAATGAAATATTTGAAGAAGCAGAAAAAGCCTCGTGTTCTGCCTATTGCGAGGGGTGTTTTGCTTGTGTGACTGCGTACCTAATTTATCTGTGCAAGGAAACCCGCTATGAAAAGGTAAGCAAAGAAGCGACAGTTTTTGATTTACAAACATCAGCCACCATTTCATCCACACTATGCTAATCAAAGTTATGAGAAAAACACTTAAAATTACTTATCCCATTCTCGGAATGAAAAGATTGCAACTGAGTGGCTTATCAAAGATTGAGAATTTAGGAAAAAACTGTTCTGGCTGGTAATTTTTCCAAGGTGCTTGCTAAATTCTTAAATGAGCAGACTTGATTAGGTGAAAGCTGAGACAATTGAAGGGCGGTTTTATTTCGTCCTGTTTTTGCAGTTTTCTCGTCGGTATCAATTTATTTTGTTGCAAAATTGTTCAGTTATTGTCCGATAATTAATTAAAGAACGAGATCGAATATTGTTTGTTAGGTGGATTTTTGGAGGCTTTTATTGCTATACCCGCGATTAGCAGTTGTAAGAGGAGAAGTGTGCTTAAAAAACGTTTTTGTATGCAGAAACTGAGAAAAGTGTCCAAGTTCATAGCAGAACAAAATGAAAGAGTCTTCGAGCCACGAGGGTTAAAACTAACAGATCCTAGTTCGCGTGGTTTGCGAGTTTTGGAAATTAGCTGCTTCGATCGGCCGCCGAATGCATGACTTACACTTTCCCACTCTACCCATGAGTTTTTCATGTGAATTAAGAGCTTCGAATGTTGCCAAGAAACGACCGTCAACTCATAGATTTAATCCATGTCGTCACGTGAACAATACTCGCAGAAAATATAGGTACTTGATTTAGTAAAATTGTTTGGCTGTGAAAAGCAAAACTCAAGGCTAATCACCGATAAAGAAGTTTCGGGAGAGGAAACTGAATAGATATTGGATTTATCAACTAAATCAATGTCTAACTTCTATTATGTGTTATGTTAGGGTTGGGCACCTGTATCTATTAGCCTTGTAGACGTCGTCACTTCATAAATACTTTCTCATCAAGCTTAAAATTGTCTTTAATCTTTGATGAAACGTTACTGCCAACATTTAAATTGCATAAATCAAGTGAGTAGGTTGGAAGTAAAGAACAACAGTTAAGCAAAAAATCGTCTCTGCTGTTCAATATCAAATCCAGTTTTTGAAAAGCGCTCAGGTATATTTTCTTGATTACTGAAACTCACTAGATGGTAGAGTGTTTTTTATTATTTTTACTTCACTATGGCTTGTGTGCCAAATTGGTCATAAAATGTGCAACCTTTCCTTACAGAATAAATTTACAAATGCCTAACTCACAACAAATAAGAGCTGCCTCTTATTTGTTGTGAGTTAGGCTACTGATAATTGTAGAACCGACTTTCAAAAATAAATCGCCCAGAACAAATTCTGGAAAACGTTTCATTAATCCATATCTAAATTAAACGATTATTTAGATAATTATTTATTTTTAGTATTATTATTTATCTGAAATTTGTTTTATTTTGATAACTGTGTATGTGATAATTACAAGGTAGCCTTTTGGATATTTTGTTCGTTGTTTTCTTCAAAACTATTAATATGGTAACCCGTGTTTTGGAGTTAAATATGCGCTCACTTTAGTAGCTATTTTACTTTGTATTAAATGGTTCAATTATTTTCTTTGTTCAGCCTTGCACTGTTATTGCAACAGGCTGGATGTACGGTTAATAAATTGACCTGGAATTCTGAAACTGAATTATTTTGTTTGGGAAGTGATGTAAGTTTCAAGGATATCAAGAGTCAACTTATTCTCGTGTTTTTACTTCATTAATCATTCGCTCTTCTCTACAAATTCATCCGGTGTTAATTTCTGCATCTAAGTTAGGATCAAGGCAGAACAAAAACCGTTTATATACCGTAATTATTGTATTGCCGATTTATCTAGTTTCTAAGTTGTATATAATTGCATTTATGTCTTCCCAAACAACCTTACGTATATATTTTATTTATTACTCTAATACTTTTGTATATGGTAAACGAAATCATTTACGTTAGAATTGACACAGTCAATAAAGAGTGGATTTATTTAGAGTTTTTGTTTTTAGTTTATAAGACCCTTATTTGAAAATAAATGAATGTTTTTTATGTAGTTGTATGGAATATCGTCAATAAAAAAGTAGGAAAATTGATTCGACCTTTCAATGAACCGTCTTGAAGAGACGAGTTTTACAAAGTACAATGGGTTTTTATATACATCTTGCAGATCGAAATCGTCGAAGCGTTTTTGATTACGGTACATAGTGTTACTTATTGATCGACGAATATTTACGGGTCTGGATTTATAGGAAAATTACTTGGAAAAGTATGATGCAAAAAACGTGTATTTTTATAATATATGGTGTTGAAAAAGGCTTAGCAAGTACGGCCTGTTTTTGGAATATTTCCTAACAATAAATGTTTAATTATGTAATTGATGAAAACTAAATCTTATGTATAGGCAATATTTTTTACCCGTGCAGTTGAAGAAATGAAAGTTCTGATGGTTTATTTCGTTTTAAAAAATAGCTTTAGTAATGCGTTTATTTTGTCCGTTTCCACACTGGTTTCCTCCTTGAATTTGCTTTCTGTTGGTTTCATTTTCCTGTAGTGTTTCAATAAAACAACAGTTCAATTTATATACTTAATTGAAGTTTATTTAGAATAAAAAAATATCAAGACTCTCTCTACTTCAATAGTTAATACAAAAGCAACTGTAACAGAGATAGACGTTTTAATATCAATATATTTATTCTATGAACTACCAGATTAACCCGATATTGTGTAGTTTCAAATTTGAAAACATGGATAATGTTCATATTGGAAATAGTACGGATTCAAATTTAAAAAACGATAGTTTGGAAGAGTTTGTTGAAAAAATGATTGCTGATTTTCAGATCGGGTTTATCTCACAAAAACCAAACTTCAATCTGAGCTGCGTTGTAAACATTAGCGTATAACTAATGGCTTCTCTAGAGGTCTATTTGGAATGTAAAATACTTAAAGGTTGCTACCAGTACACTGTTAGTCACTAATTTTTTTAATAATGCAGATTTAAATATTGCTTTCCTTTTGATTAAGATTACTTTCGTTTGTATGACTAGTTTTGACGCAAATGTATTACTTTATACAAATCCGACAAATCTAAACAGAGTGTTCGTATGGAAAATATTCGTTACGGGATCTACAATTGATTTAATTTTTTATGCAAAAATTCGATTTGATTGATCATATGGGGACAAACCAGAAAATGCGTCTAAAAAAGTAGCAAAAAACAAAACTGTGGGCTCTAAAAAAATTGAAATCGTGAAACTTTAACACTTAGTCTTGATAACGACGGTTTTGTGTGTGTTAAAGTTTACAACTTTTCTTTTCATGTTATCGTTAATCGCCCAATATCGTCAACTTTTCGTATGTTTTTCAAACACTCTGTCTAATATACAAAAGAAATATTTGCGCACTATTCTATTAGTATTCATTATCGTAAATTATCGGTAAAAAAGCAATAACTAGGACTAATTTAATTTCAAGTTTTGGAATTAATCAAACGAAACGTAATAGATTTGCAAACAGAAGTGCATACCTAGAGTTAACAATAACTGTAATACCTCGACTACCTTTCTTAAGTACAATTTGCCTCGACGAGGTAATTTTAAAGTACAAAATGGGATCTTACATCTGCCAGGACAATGCTATATGATACATCTGATCTTACTTAAATCTAGGAGCATATTAACGGAAATATCACTAGGTAGAATACGAGCTATTTTACAAAAAGTTGTCTTTCAAGATTTTTCGGAAATATCGTCAATAATCATTTCCCAGTGCATGCTGACTGAGTGCTACGGAGGTAAATGAGCATTTCAAACAGTTTGTTTTCCAGAAAAAACACCAAACGAAACTTCCACTCTGTTAAATATTCAAGCCTTATCTCTCATGTAATTTTTAATTTAATCCAATGCATTATTTGTGTATTTTCCTTCCCAAAACGCGTTTAGTATTAAAAAGTAGTGATTTTCCGACATTGCCTTGTAAAGAAGGAACAGGAGGACGGAGAGCTTCATACATTCAGAATAATAAAATGTTGCCTAGAAAAGGGAAAACCTGGCAACCTATGATGCTATGATATTTTCCCTCGCTTTTTACAATAATTACATTCATAACAACGATTAAACATAATCAACTGAAGATTTCCAACAAGCTAGTCTATCAACTATCGATGGTCACAACATGCAACACAGTTTCTTGTGTCTTTTTTTATTTTCTGCTGCCGCTGGTGACGAAACAGTATTCAGGGTTTGTACGGTTAGCTCGAAGCCTTTGGACTCTTCAGACTCTGCAAGGTTTTAACATTTTGACCCTGAATTTCAACTACTTTAGTTAATATTACCAGTGAACGCTTCAATAGGCTTATCAATGTAGTCGTGGTCAATCCATGTAAGGCCCATATCAACTTTCTCAGCCAAATCCTGCCAGTGTTGTCTGTTTTCAAAAGTTCCTTGATACAAGGGCTCCATCCAGGGAAAGGTTTCCGACAACACTCGGTATAGGGGCAAACAAATCACATCTATAAACCCCACTTGCATTTGGGGTAGTTCGTCTTTTCTTTCCCGGTCCATCATTGCCTAGAAGTAAATATTTTCACAGTGTCAAAATATTTTTTTTCTCGACTTACGATTGGTTGCTCCTTTAGTTGCATTTTCTCCAAATCTCCTTGGTCGAAGAATTCATCAGCAACTAGTTTGGCTATCCTGTGCTGAACCTCCCATGGTTTCGCTATTGCACTAACATCGCATGCAGTCATCATCATTCCTGATAATACTAAAATAAATCGGAAAAATTTGTCATTAAATCTCCATAAAAGAACCCCTTCTTTTATATTTATCAAATGAAATTGGTGTTAAATGTACGAACTTTTTAAGATATTTTTTGTTGCTGTCCCACTTACAGTCTTTTTTGTCATCACTTTGCCAGTCGAACTCTCCATTATCGATCAGTTCTAGGAATTTGTTCCTTTTCTTAAAATACATTGCCAAATCGGTCGATAGAATTGCAGTCTCCACTAGTTTCATCACCCTTCTGTAATCTTCTGGAGAAAGCGCCTGGAAATATAAAAAAAAATGTTTAAACCATTCTCCACTTTTCCATATTTTTTCGGGTCGATTCTGCTAGTAACAAATGAGTAAATATTGTAATTGTTTACTTTTGTCTCCGGGAATGGTCCTCCTGTATTTTCATGTTCAATCGAATTATATCACGATTGTGCATGACCAAGCTCGTACTCATTTAGAGACTATTTATAACAAAAATCGTTAATATCCATCGGGGTTAAAAGGCCGCACATATTTTAGGGCAAAATTGCCCAATTAATTAACTAAAATGTTTTTTGGGCAATTTCGTATATGGACCGCAAAAGTGGGGATAACAGCCAGTTTTCCTTCTATTCCAACAACTGAAATGGTTCTACCGATTTCAGATATACAGTGGATTATTTTTATCAACATGTGTTTTTGCAATTGGCACCATACTGGTAGTTTTCTTACTTTTCAAACACCCTGTACTCGCACATGTTTTGCTAATATTTAAGCAGTTATTTGTGTGTTTAACTCCGTTTTTTAACAAAAAACTTCTCATGCGCGGTTAAAAAAATAGCAATAAAAAAATAAATAAAGAGCCAGACTTATTCTGAAACAGCTTTTCGGCTCGCAAAGATAAAATACTTGCAATAAAACCATATTTTATCAAAGTCGTTATGTTAATCGGACAAACAGTTGTACATACATCCTTCAAAGCGTATTTATGTACAACGAAAAAACATGCTATTTCATTTTATATCCAAGAAGGCACCGTACATAATATTATGATCTTTTTCTCGCAATATAAAAAGTTATAAATTACCTTTAACAGCCGAGAGCTGAAAGAACTTCTGACTCTCCTGCAATTTATTACCCTCCATTATTGTTGTCAGTGTGAAAAGATATAGAGAGTTTTTCGGTGAAAAGCCTGCAGTTAGAGCTGCGAATTGCAGTTACATTCAATGTAATATCCGAAGATGTCTGTTCTGATTAAAGGGCTACGAAAAGCGTCTCAATTACCAGATAACTCTCCTGGAAGGTTATCAGAAAAAATGTACTAAGCTCCTTTAAACATACAAAACGAATAAAACGTTTATGACGGCCATTAAGTCGTTTTATTTTGTATCAACGTTTTATATTGTGTTTTCGTGACCTAAATTCGGTGCAGGTGAAATGTGCGGCCAAACACGGAAATTACAGCTAATAAAAACCTTAACTCGAAGCAAACAAATTAGTTAAATGCTTGATGTTGTGTTATTTTCTGTAGTTCATTACACGTTTATTAATTGTTTTACTTCTTTTGCTGTGTTTCAATATTGCCTTTCTTTGCCTTACAGTCAATTTGTCAATCAAGACAACATTAGAGCACAATGGAATATTGTGTGAGAAATTTAGCCCGGAAAAGATTTATTTCCAAAGCTGACAGCAATTTTCAGGCAAAAACACTATAAGCAATTTATCCCTTATTGTTTGCTCAATACGCTTTCGATACAGAAAATTAATATATTTGCAAAGAAACTGTTTTTGTCGCTTACAGCTTTTGGTATATAATTTATTAGGTGAAACTTGTCACCGAAAACTGATTTTATTGAATTCGGTTGAAGCAAAACGGTTTCAATACACAGGAATAAGTTTTCAAAGAAAAATGTCCCTGGTTATTTTGCTATTTTTTAGCTGTTTTTAATGTTCAAGTTTATTTTTCTTTGCGTTTCCGCAAAATGTTCTTGATACATGGAACTGATCATTTTGCACCCTTTTTTTTCCTCGTGTAATAACTGGTTCAACTGAAATAATTTATGGGAGAGAATTGCAGTGAATTCTTATTTTTTTTTACGGTAAGCTGCTTGTGTTTGTTTTGTGCTAAATGTCTATGATGGGCACAATTAATGTTTGCAAAAAGGACGTCTGTTTGCATCTTTCAGTGAGATCTTTGATTCAACTGAAATCAGTCAATACGGAAAGGGACCGTAAAACATTGGATTATTTAACTGTTTTTAACGTTCATCTGTTTTTAAGCGAAATATTTTTACCATATATACACAAGTGTTTTTTAACTTTTACATCCCTTGGTCCAATTGAACTAATTTATACAGAAAATTGTAGTAAAATCTTTACTTTTTAGCGATTATTAACATAATAATAAATTAAACAAATAATGATTATCGCTGCAAACAAATATTATTTGTGTTTTCGCAGTTTTGCGCTCAACTGAAGTAGTGTAGGTTTTTGGGTCTTATACCCGTTGATTTAACTGATATAATTGATAGCAATGAAATGCTATTGGAAAATCTCGCTTTTTCCTATTTTTTTAATTAAATTATTTTATACAAAACCAGGATTCGGAAAGATTTTTATGAAACTTTCAGTATGTTTGGAGTCAAGAACCTTTTAAAGGTGGTGAAAATTTTATGTCGCTAGTCGCATTTGAAAAATGCGAATGTTGAAAGGAGAGAGCGATGTTCCGTAAACGTATGAATTTTGATACCGATGTTTACTTAGCTTTAGCTATATTTGCCAAACTCTCACCATATTTAGAGTTATGAGTTTTCTAGGGATGATTAAAATTTCAAGTTGCTACTTGCTCTAGTTTAGAAGATGCTAATTTTGAAATTCGAGAGCGAAGTTGAGTAAAAGCATCAATTTTGGCACCCGCATTTATTAATCTGGAAAAAGTGTGGATTCAGTGCGATTGTTATGAAACTCTCAGCATCTTTAGAGTTGAGAGTTGTCTAGTGTTGGTGAGGATTCCAACTCGATACTTTCCTCAGTTTGGAAGATGCGAATTTTGAAAGATACTGCGAAATTGAGTGGTAGCATCAATTTTGACGCCGATATTTACTTAGTTGGAACAATCTCTGGCCAATTTTTGCAAAACTTTCCGTTCCCTTAAAATTAAATATTCTCTAATGATGGTACAAATTTCAAGTCCCCGCTTTCGTTCGTTTCATAGTTACGAATGTTTAAAGGAGATTAAACACATACATTTTGAGACCTATATTAACTAAGCTAGAAAACATTCAGACTCTGGGTAATTTTTGAGAAACTTTCAACCTCATTACGGTTAAGGGTTCTGTAATGATCATGAAGATTTCAAGTCGCTCCTTGCTTCAGTGTGGAAGATCCGAACTTTGAAGTGCAAACATTAAACCATAAAACCTTCAATGTTACAACTTCGAAAATTAATGTCTTACTTTGGTTCAATTGACGTAGTTTGCATACAAAAACGTCGTAAGGAACTTTAACTTATTTTTTTATTTTTACTGCGTTAAACAAAGGGTTTTTGGTTTTTGCAACTTTTGGAATAATTGATCTAGATCTTTCATCAAAAAAAACTTTGGTCTCTTTTTCTCTGTTTGTATATTTCATTAGCATTTATTTGCATATTTTCCCAAAGCCATGGCGAGGGAAAGTGGAAAATGCGTCTCCATCCAAACAGGAATTTTATTTGAGTTTCTCCTATGGATTTCCGGACGAATTTTCAATTTCCTACCGAAATCCAGTACGTGATTTGGGGATATTCCTTATACAGATTGAATCACGATTATGCCTGTCGATCGGTAAATAACAATATTGAAATTGAAGATCAACAAAAGTGCATATTTTCTGCAAACTATACGAGCTTGTCTTTATTAAGGGCCAAATACATACAAAACCCACCTACTTGAAAAATATTATTGCTGTCCGTATTAAGAATCATCACGCATTGGTCGAAATGATGGTGTTCCATTGTGCTTGTCGAATACAAAATTGCCAATGGAGATTCGGTTTTTGTCTGGAAAGCGTTGTTAGTCCCACGGTGATCCAGATCGTGACATAAACAGGCTACTAATAGACCCAACATTTCCAAATCGTTCATAAACCTGAAAAAATAAACGTAATCAATGAGCTGAAATTTTCAAAGGAATGCAAAGGAAAGTAAATCAGAAGTGAAACAAGATTAGTCGGGAACTGATGAAGTTGCATAAAATATAGGTAAGAGGCCAGCTTTTTAATTAAAATATTTGAGCCTATTTCCACTAAATCTCATCATTTAAAACCCGTACTGTATGCTAGAATTTTTATTTCTCCTTTCAGGGTATTTTAGGGCCCGTTCTGCTCTCGAAGTTTGCTAAACTACTTGAATTCCTCTAAAATTTGTGAGTATTCAATTATGAAGCTATCCTTAGGGGAATATTGCATCGTCTTGTTTAAGCTCAACGTACCCAAATTATCTTCCAAGATTGATTAGCTTCCATTTTCCGTACAACGATGGGACATTAATCTATCGCTAAGCTAATATTTAATAAGTCATCGACGTATTAATTGTATGGCTGAAGCCAGTTAATCAATTTACAGTCTCGAAACTCTGCTATTTCATGTGTCTTCCATTATTAAATAAACGGAGTGTGAGCGAATTGAGTTTTCCATTGAAATTAAAAAAAATGTATTATCTAAGCTCTCAGTTGGGGATGCATCCAAATGAATCCCGCAGTTTTGTGCATCAACTGATTTTCAGTTATCACTGTTTGCGTTTTGCAATCGATTTTCAAGAGCTTTCAACATCTTCGTCGTTCCACGCCCAGAATAGATTGCTCCTCGTTCGAGGCCTAATTTATGTCGACGTTTAAGTCCGTAATCTGATTCGGGATAAGAGTATTATATCTGCGTCAAAACGGATCAAAATCCAGCAGATTAACAACTAGGATTGATTAAGCTAGATGGAACCGAATTGATTTTCATTTATCATCGTGACGGTCACGATAATTCCCGCATTTCCAAACGCTGATTTCTGCTGAAGATAAAAATAAATACCTTTCCATTTTTCCAGTTTTGAACATGGCAAACATCGTTTGTGCCACATTCAATGCGTGCCTCCAGTTGTGGTACTTAACAGGCCGGTAATTTTTCTTTACACTCAACACCCATCTGCATAAAACCTGCAAAGGGAGGACAAATACATAAAGGCTTTATGGGGCCGGAAATTCTGCCTCTGTTTATTATGTTGTAACACAAATTCTATTCAACTCAAGGAAACATTTTCTTAGTAATTTTAGTTAAGACTTGTTCCTTAGGATCTTTAGTTATTTAAAAAAATGCTCTTTTAACTTTCCATTAAAAAACTAACAGCCCGAACTAATAACTCCTTTGAGAGCCAATTAAATTTTCTATTTAATTTCCTCTGAGGCGCGTTATTTGGTCGGTGGTTTAAAAATGATTAAATGGACGCATTAAGTTGCCAGTAAAATTCTTACCTCGTAAGGAATATGGAACTGCTGAACCAGATTGCATTCGAGGAACATCCGAATAGTCGCTTTACAGGTTTCGTCATCCGATAAATCAAAATCGATAAACGTGAAACTGAAACAAGAAACCTGTTACAACAGCAAAATTTCAAGTTTTATTTAATTTTTATATCAATCAATCATTCAACCTGCATATTCAGTCAATTGAGTACTTGCGAATTCCTACACCTACCTGTAAAACAAATTATATTTACTTGCTCCCTGCATTTCTATTATCTTCCGGCAATTCGTCATAAAATATGCTTTATTCGCGGCCCCAACAAAATATACACACGATTTTTAGAATTTATGGTCGTTTGTTGAGACTTACCGCAAAGCAGCATATACGTTTAATGTAAAAATTGTAAAAGCGTGTCAAGTCCCGTTGAAATTTCATGCACTTGGAGCGAAATCTCTAAGTCTGTGAAGAGGTTGCCGCTCTAAAAGATGTAGCATTCCTGCTTGAGTTGTATGGTGAATAGAACGAAAGTCTAAGAGTGTAGTCTCTAAATCAGAGATTTTCCTGTTTCTTCTTGAAAAAGCCTAATCGATAATACGTCTTAAAACTTCACTTCGATAGCCAGCCAGGTTTTGCTAGAAGTATGTTGATTCTATGTCAAAAGACGTTCGAGGATTTACGACTATGCTATTTTTCGCCCACATTTATCAGTTTCACGAACAGTTTTCCGAAGATAAGTCGCATAAGGGGGAAAAATGAAAAGCAAAAATGGAATGCAGAGATTCCGGAATTCAGACTTCCCCGGGCAGGTGCTAAAGATTGATTCTTTTAGCAAAACACGGTTCAGGAAATTACAATTCCTGCGAATTTTCGCAAAAAAACACACTGTACATGTATGTAAATTTTGGACTTAATACAATTTCAAAAATAAAAGCTTTCCAAAGTTTTTTTCTTTGTTTTGCACTTTGTATTTCCATTTGCCAGCCGTGTTGGCTTCCAACTGTTCCACCAATATCCTGGTTTTAAAAAATATTCAAATAAACTTGGCGACCGTGATATAAGTTGTACGATAAAAACGGTAATTCCTGTTTCTTTGTCATTCGCAATCGGCCTTTTGCTTGGATTGACCTAAAGTTGTTTACTGATCGTCAAACAGTTTTATTTTCCAGATATACAGGGTGTCCCGTAAGCTAATGAGCAAAAGGTTACTGCGATATTCTTTGGACGAAATGAAAACGATCTGACCTAACTTTTATTAACAAAAAATGTCTCTGCTATTGATGGTCAAAGTTCTTCAAAAAATTTTCTTTTTCGAAATATCGGGATAATGGTATGATGTATTTTAGTAAAACTCGCTGTGAATTTGTTCTTATGTAAGACTCATATTTTGAGGAAACAATCGAGTGCAGCCGTTTTGGACAAGTGGTGAATTCTTGACTGTCCTGGTACGAAAACTGACAGAACTTTTTAGTTGGAGGATGAAATCAACTCATTTTTTTTAGGTGGATGCACGAATCATTTGTTCACAATTTTGTGCTCTTTGTAAAACCTTATAGCATTAATAGTTTTTGCGTAAAAAAGATATGTCTGTTTTCTAGTCACTTAGCAATGCTAGCTAGACATTTTCTACAAATATGCGCCTCGTAAACGCGTACGCTTTCACGCAAATTGTCTTCGTAAAACTCTAACACTTTGACCATGTGGGTCACTTCTTCATTAGAAAAGGTAATTCAAAACGAATTTGTAAAATTTATTGACAATCATTTTATGCCTCGTATCATGATATTTGCAGGTAATGTCTAAAATTGTTAAGTGGCAAGGAAACAGAAATATTTTTTTCCCAAAAACGAAGATTTTACGAGAGAGATTTTAAAGAGATAGAAGATTTTACAGAGAGCACAAAATTGTGAATAAATGATTAGTGCATCAACCTAAGAAATGAGTTGATTTCATCCTCCAACTAAAAAGTGCTGGTAGTTTTTGTACCACGACACTCAAGATATCACCACTTGTCCAAAACGGCTGAACTCGATTGTTTCATCAAAATATGAGTCTTACATAAGAACAACTTCACAGCGAGTTTTACTAAAATACATCGTACCATTCTCCCGATATTTAGAAAAAGATAAATTTTTTGAAGAAATTTGACGATCAATAGCAGAGGAGCCAGACATTTTTTGTTAATAAAAGTTAGGTCAGATCGTCTTCTTTTGGTCCATAGAATATCGCAGTACTCTTTTGATCATGAGCCTACGGGACACCCTGAATTTGGCTTAACTCGGTTCCTTATTAAAAATAGATGGCAAGTTGGGGGAAATAAAACCGTTGACTTTTCCCAAATTTTAATCATATTCAAACCATATTCTTTGGGGATATTGGCAACTTGCGTACTACACCGTTTCTTGTCCAACTGTCAGGAAACATCAACTAGAATCCGATAAATAAAACGCTAATCGGAAATTGGCCGACAGGAATGAAACTTTTTTTAAAAATTAGCTCAAAGTGACAAATTTTCAAATCTCATCTACCAGTACTGCTCCGTATGCAACTTATCCATCACCGTGTCACACTTTTTTCCATAAGCATACAGCCCCAATTTATAATTTTTAATCAGTAACCTGTTCGTTCATAGCTGCATGCGGATAAATTTCAAATGAAATTTACGGTTTTTCTCTTCCCACAATTTAATCCTGTATGACACACCGTTGTTTTTCCCAAAATTTGATCATTTGCTTTGCACCGTTACACAATTAAAAACTCACCTGTACAAGTTGAAGCTTTCAGCTGAAGGAATTTCTTCTTTAACCAGCTTAGCAGTGGCGTCATTACTGGCAGTAGCATGATAGGAAAGACATTCCAGTGCAACTTTCTGTTTTGCCATCAGTTTGCAGGCATTTTCATACATTTGAGTGTTGTGAATGCCCAGGCCGCAGAAGATTGCAAAAGCCTCGAACAAGGAAACATCACAGTCAGTGAAAGGGGCGCCGTTTTCTTTATTAATTAACTGTGCCACCCCTGAAAGATCGCAACCAGTTGGTGCAAATTGATTTTCATAAAAGTATGCTTTTACCAATGAGAGTTCTTTGGCCGTTGATTATTGGCATACATAGAATTGTTATTGCTGATTCAGCATCCCCTTCACTATACTTCTCGCAAAGCCACTCCCCAACATCTCCAATGTTGAGGATTTGGCCAGTAGAAGCCGCATAGCCTGCTATTTGTGCCAAGGTTGAGCCTGCCAAGTCGAACGAAGATGGCCTAAAAATCTCAGATTTATCAGTTCATTTCGCCTCATAAATAACAACTTTTGCAGCTTCCAATTCTTGCGACTCGATGCAATCTTTACCTGGACACTAAAGTTTTGTTGCCTCCCTCTCTCAGTTCAAAAATCGTTGTAAAAGGGCTGGGCCTCTTGAAAAAATTGTCAATCATATCCTGGCCAGTTATAGAGCCACTCACCATCCTGTTTAGGGGCGCAGCTCTCTGAATTGCTTTTCCCGGTCTTTCAACGATCCGTTGGAGATGGTTCTGGAAAAACATGAAAAGATGCAAAGACACGGTAAAGTAAAGTAATTAAGCTCAATACTCCAGCAGTGGTAGACAAGTAAGAAATTAACAGAATTGCTTCTATTAGCCAGTTTACTTAGGTGGAACGAACCTAATTATTTAAATGGTCTTTAAGGAGGAAGCATTTAGTAACTGAAAACAAGGTCCATTTCCCTGGAGGCAAATCGGCGTTTGGAAATTAAGTAAATTAGATTACAATGGCCCTCATTAGTCGATCAGTTTTAGATGATATGCAAATGAATTTCCTGCTTCGTTGCAATAAATAGTCTGAATGCCAGGTGGTGTTTACGTCACTCCCCTATAATTCTCTAGGGCTTTATTTAGGCTTTTATAAATTTAATGGTTTCATTAAAGCCCTACAAAGCGAAGACAAATTGCTTTATAAACAGAGCAAAACTAGCCAGAGTGTCCAGTTTTTTTCGCTCGTTTCCCGAGGCTGAAAACTTTTATTCTTGTTCAAAACGCTGCTGACCTTTCGAGCTCAACCACGGACAAATTAATTTCCAACTATACGATAACGGAAAATATATTCCACTTTTATATAGCGTATCCGCGAAAGCTTAATATCACACTTCGGTTTTAGGGGCGCCGTAAAATTCACCTTAATTTCAGGCATATTAATGTTCCCTAAAGCAACCTTTCCAAATAAAGGCTTTTAGGGCCTTTCCAAAGTGTCCAATAAACATTTCAATTACCATGGAGCACTTTGTAATAAGTATTAGCACGAATGTACGGCAAAAATGGCCTAAGTGTCTGCCAGAATTTAGTTTTGGTGGAAATGAAGTAATTGCTTAATGCATGGAAGTGAATGTTTAGAGAGTGGAAATTATCGAACAATTTTCTGAACTTTATGTTAATATGAGTCGAATGTTTCATAAATAAAGCAGACCAGCAGCAATATTTGCAGTCAAATGTGATTAAGATGAAAATGGTTTAACAGTTTCTAGGTTTTGCAACTGGAGTGTTAATTTAGTGGAAGCCTTTGACTTATTCGACTTGGGGTGTGATTTTAATCAAAACATTTTTGCGCTTTTCATAATTCGCTGAAGTATTAACAATGGATTCATTATATATTTTATGAGTCAAACAATACATTTGTGGTTTAAGGCCGCACATTTTTGCAACAATTTTCCAGGTAAAACTGAAAATTTTGCTGCGATCTTTATTACTTCAGTAATAATATGACAGAGTAATAAACCAGAAAATTCGCATTTCTTCGCCAACATTTTTACAAAAACTGAACCATTTTTTTCAGAACAAGCCAAATGCATTGAGTGTTTGCACATTAAAGTGACAATAGTGACTCCCTCCGAGTTGAAATATTTCTAAATCTAAAAATTTAAATCACCCTTTGAAGAACGTAAAATTTTTGTCTTAAAGAGTTAATTTATCAACTATTTCGATGGAAAACCCGCAAATATTCTCCCTTAACTACAGTATGCATTCTTATAGTCAGGTTTAATTTAAAAAACATACATTTTTTCAAAGTATCAGCTTAAGCATTTAAGCACTTAACTTGAGGAATTATTCAGCGATTTGAATTAAAAGTTTAGAAATGATTGCAGTATTTTTTTAAGTATGAACACCCAAGAAAAATTATTGGCGGAAAAGGTACTAAAGAAAATTAACCATTAATAAACTCACCGCTTCGCAGCAATCAAGATCCAGAAGGTAAACCGCACATCGTTCGCATTTCAGTAAATCCTGGGCCTCTCTCATTATTTTCGTGACCAGACATTCCAAATTGTTCTGTTCCTCGAATATACTACGTGCCAGATTGAGCAGAATCTGGAACGGAAAGAAAACGATCGAGTTGAATATTTCCCGGGCTTAGACCGACGGGAAATTATCTCAAATTGCTGCTTAATTACAGCAGACTTTTTAAATGGTTGGAACTAGAAATTTTCAGTTCATATCTGAGGATGGCAGTGCTGATTTAATCCAGTTTGTTGAAATTTGGTCACTCGTGGATCTCTAGTGGAATTGCTGAGTGTTAAATATTATCGAAGTTTCCTTCAGAACCAGAGCATTTAAAATTCCGCTAAAAATGTACAAGCTCCAACTTTCCAGAGATTTATCCGTTTTACATATCCGTGAGTTCAATGTTAAAACCTGACGAGGTGCCAGATGAAGCGCTTTGAACCCAACTAAATTAACTTTAGCCTCATATATTCGATGATATAAAAATATCTCTTTAACAGTTCCAGAGTGAAATTGGAATGGCGAGAATCGTCCACGTGAGGAGCTTACGTGGCTTATTACATTTCAAGTCACAAAGATAGGCGATTTAGAAAATTAATGCCTTGTTTGTTCCCTCGAGTTCTTCCAGGAAATTCACGTTTTGTGATTTTCTTTAATATAGACTGTTTGCGAATAAACAACAGATAAACCTTACAAATTGGATATTAATCCCAAGGGGTTTTTGATGTGATTTCCCTTTGCTTCAGCTAATACTAAATATGGAAGGGTTTTATTATTTAAATGGAGCAGATCAATGAATTTGAACAATTCAAAAAGAGAAAAGAAAGGTAAATATCATGCACAGTGGAATGTAAAAATTAGATTTTCACATACTGTGACTAAGCCTGCAAAAGAGCAAGTCGGCTTTTTTAATAGGCGCAAAGCTCCATTAATTATGCACACCGGTTAGTTCACATGGCAAGAGAAAAAAAGATTCAAAAGATAAAACAGTGCGATAAAATATATCAGCGAAACGTGAAAAAGCTCCACATTTGTCCATCATGAATTTTTCCTGGACCAGACAGAATGGAAAATTACATGGATATATCAAACATTTAGAGTCAAAGTAGGGATCCAATATTGGACAAGGTAAATTTATCTTCAGGGAAACTTCGCAGTGAAACGCAAACCTTCACATGTTCGCTTCGGAAAGCGAGATAAATAACTCTGTAATTTAATCAGTTTATTTTCCAGTTGAGTGATGAATAGCAGGAATTTTAAATTAAACGGTAGATAATTTCTATAAAAATTCCAAGTTGGATCATCATTTATTTACATTTTATTAAGCTCAATATTTTCTGTTCTGGCAGCGGTTTCGAAACTGCATTAAAACTCCTTTAATAAAAAAAAAACGCGCGATATTACGCGTTGTTAAGAGGAAAATAGACGATTTTTGGTGAGACAATCAAACAGTTTTTATTTTGGCAATCAAAAACTATACATTTTAGCAAAAAGCCCAAAGGGACTTTTTTGTTCCCCACTGAATGAAGAATTGAAATATAATTTCTATTTGCGGAAAAAGAATTGGAAAGCATTGATCTTTTTTGAAATTTTAATCATTGCGTTCATTTTCTCGAAAAATACAAAAATTTGATTTTTTCATCAATAGCTGTGCTTTAAGGCTTTTGGGTTGTTCAGTTTCTTTTACCTGGTGCTAAATACTTCGTTAATTTTCTCAGACAAATCAATAGTTTTTTTTTTACAGAAATTGGGACTCTGAATGTAAAATTGAACCGTAATTCTTTGTTGACAAAAAACCATTGGCAGATACCAGTTTTTTTTGGAAAGTGTTAAATATTAAATATTACTTTAATTTTTTCGAACAATGCAACGGTGTAAACTTTTTTATCGATTTCGAAGGACTAAAATTTGGAGATATTTTCTAGGACAACAAAAGAGTCTTTTTTACCAAAAATTGGGCAATTCAGCCATAAAAATCCCAAAGGACTGTTTTGTTCCTAACTGAACGAAGAATTGAAACATAATTTTTAATTGCCCAAAAATTATTGGTTTATTGGGCACCGGTTTTTTTGAAATATACATTTTAAATATTGAGTTACTTTCCTCGGTAAATGCAACGCTTTTATTTTTTCTATAAAAAATTGTACAAGACAAAAACTCGAAAATCGTCTTTGTTCCCATCTGAATATGTAATTGAAAAATATTTCTTTAGCAGGAAAACCATTGCGTTGTTCTGGTTTTTTACCTGAAAATCATCAAGTGCTAAATATTGCGGTTATTTTTGCTGACAATGCGACGGTTTTTATCGGTTTTAAAAAATCCCAACGGACTGTTTTGTTCCTAACTGAATGAAGATTTGATTCATAACTTTTATTTGCCACAAAGTAATTGGTTTTTTTGGACACTGGTTTTTTGAAAAGTGTATAATTTTAAATATTTAGTTCATTTTCTTAGTAAAAGCAACGGTTTTATTTTTTCCATTAAAAATTGTACAAGAGAAAAACTCGAAAAATCTGCTTTGATCTCATCTGAATCTGAAATTGAAAAAAAAAAAAATTTTGCATATAAACCATTGTGTTCTTCTGTTTTGTTACCTGAAAATCGTCGTTAAAATTGCGGTAATTTTCGCTAACAATTCGACAGTTTTTATTTTTTTAAACAAAAACGAAGCATTTCAGCAAAAAATCCGAAAGAACTTTTTTGTTCCTAACTGAATCAACAATCAAGCATAATTTTTATTGTCCACTGTTTTGTTTGACATTTTTAAAATTCTAAGTTTCGAGTTAATAATCTCGGTAAATGCACCACTTTTATTTCCTTCATCAAAATATGTGCTTTTCAATAAAAAAACTCAAAAACTCCTTTTGTTTTCTACTAAATTAATTTAACTAACACTTATTTAAATATTTAATAAAATTTTAATAAAAACTTGGCAATTGAGCAAAAAATTCCGAAAAAATTTCTCTGTTCCTACCTGAATGAAACAATTCAAACATAATTTTTATCCGCCCAAAAAGCATTGGTGTACACTGGCTTTTTGGAAAAGTGAAAAACTGAGTAAATTTTCTCGGTAAATGCAACAGTTTTATTTATTCCACCAAAATCTGTGATTTTCGAGAAAAAAAACTGGAAAATACTTTTCTTTGGAAACCGAATTTTTGCAATACATAAAAAAAGCAGAAAAGAGGTTTTTTGGTCCCAAATATTTGAAAACTTCAGAAAAAAGATTTTTGTAGAAAATACAAACCAGAGCAGACAATATTAAATCACTATGTGAGAACTTTTGCTTCAATCCAACGCATAAGGGCACACTTTGCCTACCTCCTAAAAATGGCTTACGTTTCAACCCTTTATCCAGATCCGGCAAAAAAGGATCTAATCGTCATCCATTTTTAGAACAGACAATAATAAATCACTCTAAGAGACCATTCGTTTAGGTCGAGTGCGTAACGACATTTGAATAAAAGCCATAAGAAAGTTCAGAAAGCATAAAGTCCTGTAATCTCCTGGCTTCTAAGCTTCGCAACTTTTGTTTGTCAAGTCAATACAGAAATCGCAGCTGTAGGGAAGACCAAGAGAAAGCGACTCGATTCACAATTTCATTTATTTGATAAAGGTTAGTTGTTTGCAGGAAAATCATTACCTAGGGCTTATCAGTGTTAATTAGTTTGGAAAGTTTGCCTGCCTTTGGCTCAGCTTGCCAGTGTATTTTTCTAACAGCAATTTTGCTATTGGATTCAAGAAACGCTGATACTCATCGTTATTTAATAGCTTCCAGGAAACTCTGCTAAGAGCAGTTTCACTTCCTAGCTGTTGGAGTTGAAGGGGAGATTTATGGGTTAATCAAATTGCACTAAAAATGCCCATCTCTTATAGCTGAGTTTTTCTTTGCTTCCAAACAAAATTAATCATCCAAACGTTACTTTAAATCATTATTAAAAGACAACATAGGAAATAAAGATGAGAGGAAGCGAAGCTTGAGCGAGGAAATTAGGTCAGCACGAACGCCGAAGTTATAAGTGGTTGCAAATCAATTCTTTTGTATTAGTTTGCTTTAGTTTTTCATAGCACGCTTGAATTCGTTTATTAGTTTGCAAATCTTACCTGGTTTCGCTTGTATTCGAGCACAGACACTTCGAAGAGTTGAGCATTCTGAATGCCAATTCCGCAAAATGTGAGATATCGCTGAAACACCTCCACATCATGATTGGAAAACTCGGGTGAATTGTCCGTCTTGTTAATAATTTGAGCCACCCCAATAACGTCGCCCTCGTAGCTGCAAATCGGCATGCAAAGGATGATGTTCGTTTTGTAACCCGTGCGTAGATCGACTTCACTATTGAAACGTGGGTCCTGGAAATAGAAAGACCGTGGAAAATTGGCGCAAATTCACGTGAACCGTAGAAATAAAAAGGTAAGCCAGGTAAAGTTTCCGAAAGTAGCGAAACATCGAGTCAAAGAATATTTTTCAAAGCTGCTTAGAGCTTCTAATTAAATTACCGTAACTTTCAATGGCTGAAAGCTCAAAGTTAAATTAGCTACACAAGATAACCTTTTATGGCTCTTTCGCTGATTGAATTAAACATAATGAGCATATTTCTTAATGGCTTTCAACTTTTTCTCAGTTCTTCAGATTGAAAAGCTAATAAAGAACGTTTTTCCTGTCGCTGACGGCGCGTAATCCTTGAAAGAATATCCTGAAATTTAATTTCTGCCCTTTCACAAAACAAAAGTTGAAGGTCCTCCTCATAATGCGGTCCATGATTTTCCGAAAATAGACACATTATGATGTTGAAGACGGTTTTTCGCAGAAGGCGTACAAACGACATCTACCTACACATTCACGTCCATCTAGATGGCTAAATCGATAGTCAATTTCGTTTAAATTCACTTGATTACAAAATAAACAAATATAAAAAACGCATTAAATTTGCTTGATCAATTTAAGAGTATCATTTATTCTCTACGGATTATATTTAAGTTCACTGGACATTGCCATATGGCAAAGATTTGTCCTAGCAATTGATGTCCGGATTTACAAAGTATTAATCGATATCTGCAAACACATCTAGAACATGTCGGATGTGCAGGATTAATGGAACGAAAGGTTCGATATCAACAATATTTTTTGATACATTGGCCAATATATCAGGGTTTTATTGAACTTTTATGAACGCATTTTTCAATTATTTTACAGTTATTTGCGTGCAGTTGTATAGGCAAAACTTGGGGATAAATGAACGTGTGGTGTCATAAAGAATCAAATCCAATTAAAAACGTTTTTATTTGAAAATTAATTAAATTAGGAAAATGGCGATAAATTGGGGCAAATAAGTCTGTTTAAATGAAGTTAAGGAAACTTCTAAATTGAAAACCGTGTGTATTCAAGTAGCGGGGACAAAAATGTATGTAAAAGTAGTATACATTTTTTACTTTGCTGAAATTGCAAGTTTTCTCAAATGAACGCTTTTTTTGAAGTTTCTGTTGCGAAATTTTATTGTTTTTATCTTTATCGCTGTCATTAAAGGTGAAATAATATCCAGCTTATCTTTCCTACTATCGCTCGATGTCGAGACAGTGTAGTAATGAGTGCAAATTTCAATTGAACGTATTTAGTAGGTACTTTGCAATAAAGCAGATTTTCGTCTATAGCCACAAAATGAGGTTTTACTCTCAAACTTAACGATTCAATATTAGTTCAGTTAAATTCCTTTCAAATAGATAATTTATCAATATTAATTCAAGCTTTAATTCCAGTACTCAATAGAAACTCAAACATAAATATACCGTAAAAATCTTCTGGATAGCAAGGTAAAACTTTGTTTGTAAGTAAAGTTATATTATTTATCCACCGGCGCCGTTGAGCAACTCAAAAGAATACAGTAGTAATAAAATATTGATCCCTCGCCTAATCTTAAGGTACACAAGTTGGTTTGCCAGGCAGGAATTTATGGAAAACGTAGTTCATTTGAGCGTAAAAATAAGATATTATTTATAGAAAAGTGCACCACTCGAGGGTAAACATGAACACTTTGCGCTGCAATCTACCGCAAATCTATGCAGTCAAGGCGGTATTACGAAAATGAGTTTTCCCCCAGTAGTGGGTTGAAATGCCTATTTCTCCCACATGAAACCAAATAAAGTTCAAAATGTGACTCCCTCATCAGAAAAGTTAGCATCTTCTAAACTGGATTATCTAGCGCTTAAAGCTTCATTTTAGTTGCGATATTGAAACCCATTGTATTCGCTTAATTTAAATGAGCCCCAAACTTCTGAAAGTTTGCTTATTTAGATTGAAACTGTTTGAAGCCAAATTTTAACTAAGGGAATCACTGACCAGAGTTGGAATAATAAAATTGATTATTTTTTGAATTGAAGAGCAATATGTCCCCGTCAAGCCCGGTCAGTTTAATTATTGTCTGTTGTATCAATTCTATTTTCTTTTTGAGTAAAGTGTAATGATTGCAATTTTTCCGCAAATGTAAAGACGCTGAAATTTTTATGTGACCATCGCAGGATTTCTAACTCGACCTTTATGGAGATGTAAGAAGGTCGTGTAAAAGGAAACTCACTTTATGAGACAGCTAAGCCTCTTTCCGACGCCGACGTCTAAAGATAACATTTCATTACCGAAAGTTGGGTGGAAACGCTGGAAGAATTTTTCTGCCACGTTATCTTTCTTTTCATTTTATTGAATCAGTTGCTCGGCTGCAATGTTTTAACAGTTTAAAAAATTGCGCACCGTTTCTGGCTTCGGTTCCTCGATTTTCCACTCAGCTGAACCCATCATCTTCCTCTACCTATTTTGCATGAATTCGAATTCAGCTGATATTATTATATGAACGCGTTATTAGCCCTTCGACCAAAATTTGATTTTGTTCCTCATTTTCTCCTTTAGCCGTCCCACGTTTAGACTCGCATGCAATATAAATTGGTTCGCCATCAAGGCATGTAGAAAATTGGATTAATATCGAGCAAGATGAGCAGGGCCGACAAGATTTATTTTCAAATAAAACCTTTACGGTTGTTTAGAGCATTTCTAAAAAGTTTGTAGCCCTCAATACTAAAAACTCGCATGCAAATATGCGCACTCTTAAGACTGGAAACCGGCGGCTTTGCTCGACAATTATTTTCCCCAGGCAATTGTTTTCTTTACAGCCTTACATACACAACGGCAAGTTTCAAGGTATACTAATTATATACAATAGTAACACTTGGCACACTAAGTGAGGCACTTGTTTATTTTTACTTTGTTTGTTTCAGGAAATAAATTGCCTTTCCAGTAAATTTTCTGTTGAAATGACCATGAAACGCTTCGTTGGCTCATTCAAGTCGCAAAACGTTAAAAAAATCAAATAGAAAAACGCCAGATCGAACGCAAGATACGTTAAACTGGCTTTGGTGCTCGGTAATGAAATTTTCCAACTTTGCCATCGCAGAAAAATAGCCATAAATGAGTTTGCACTAAAAGCGTGGAAACTGTCTCTCTATTTATAGCTACATAATGTGATTGAGTCTTTGGTGAATTCCGCTCAGTCTTCCGCCAGAATCTTGCTGACAGAGGAACTTTCCTTCTAGTTATTGCTTCGCTTGAAGCTTTTTCAACATGCTTTTCATCGCCTTTCAATCAGCAAACTCACTTTGGATTTTCCGTCGTGCGTAATCAATTTTTGATTATTAATATCGATGGAAGAAGACATTTTCCTCCTGACTCCGTCGCTTCTGGACCTTCCAACTAATCTACGTTTACAATTTCTAATAGCAACTGCACATTACCTTGTAAGCATCTTTAATGTTGATCATAACTTTGTTCTTCGCCACGGTTCCCGCAATACCAACACCAAAGGGAATCTTAATTTCTTCAGTTCTGGACAGCCTCATTGCCTCCTCAAAACTGGTATCGTGCCGCACATCGAAGAACTTTGAGACCAGAAATCGATTATCCGGCAGCCCTTTGGTCAGAAACAACGAGCCCCGATCGGCGTTGGTTAAGAGCGATACGTTCCTCAAAATTTTATGGCAGAGCACATCGATGTTGAGTTCATTGGCAATATCGCGGATGAGTTCCATAAAGAGTTCGGGCTCGACCAAGGACTCCAAATCGCACTGTGGACGGACATTCTGAAGAGTGCGCTCATTGGTCTTTGGTGCGCCTGATGGATACCAGATTTCGAGTTGATTAGTGTTGTTTGAGTTTAAACATGGCTGTGTTCTGATTGTGTTGACCGGTGCTGAGGTGATTGCGTCCAAGGCTTTCTTCCGAAGCTCGGTGGAAGCGTGGTGTCGGAACCATTGTTCCAGAATTTCGGGATTTGATTCTAGCCATGTCCTGAAACAGAACAACACAATAATTAGCCATGCTTCTTGCCTGGATTTTTTCCAATTTCTGAAAAAAATTCTTAAAAACTGAGCAAGATTCAGAAGGAAAGACATTCATTGATTTGCCTTAGTGAAATACCCCCTTGTCTTCTACTCCGTTTGGTGGCCTGTTATTGTTAACATGACAAAATCGCATTGAAAAATCATCAGCGACTCCTTTAAAAGCTTCGTTCGTGTTAATTAACGGATTTTCATGCCATATAGAGTTGGTAGCTGGTCACATACCTACCTACCTCATCGTCCACATGCAAAATAATTAAGTAGTTTCGCTTTCCGCTATAAAAAGTCTACGTGATATGCGAATATATATAGAAATTTTATTAATGATCGTTAATTTTATTGGGCCGTCGATGGATTAATGGGGATCGTGCCAAGTTTCAACAAAAAAAAACAAACCCGTTTGATTAATTGTGTCAATATTTAATCCATATTTTATTCGAATGATTATACAATTTTGCTTCAAGGTGTTTTTAATTGCATGTTTACTAATCTAGAACAAAAGCTGGTTTGCAAATGGGGGTTTTACTCAGTGGAAGGAGAGAACAACAACTCCAAACCAAAAATGGCAATAAGAACTTTATGGAAAGAATGAGACAGTCGCGCTCTTTGCTGACACTGTTTTCTTTTTATTTTTATGTTTAATTTGCTATCATTAAATTGCTTTTTTATATTATTTTAATTATTGCTAATTGTAGCATATTCACAATTTAATAAGGAAAACATCTTAATATATATGTTATACAAGCTATCGAAATATATGCAATCAGAGGCACTTAGGATAATTTATTTTGCTTTTTTTCATAGTATTATTATTTATAGTAATGCGGCATGGGGAGCTGCCTATCCATGCTCTCTCGATCCTTTAGAGAAACTACAGAAAAACATTAAAAATAGTAAATAAAGATAAGTTAGATAATAAGGGCCCTTTAAACTTCATTCAAATTTTTGCTTCTGAATGTCTCAGATAAATTACAATACACTCAACTGTCTATATCTGAAAAAAAAACTAGCATAACTAGAAATAAATATATAAAGCTACCAAAATGTACTAAGATTGTAAGCAACAAAACTAATTATATTAAAGCGATTCTAGTATAAACTTGCTTCCTAATTCGGGTCCAAATCTGAAAATAATTGACTTTGTTAAAAGTTATAATAAGAAGTGTATAAAGATATGGATTGCATCCAATATATCTTCAATATACAAGTGAAGATTTTCTGGTGTCCGAAAATATTGAAATAAAGGGTTAATTTTTCTTGGATTAATCATGAAGTTTGAATAGCTGAAGTCTCTCTTTGTGTGCCCAATTTAGAGTTTAGTTTAATTGGTTTTTCTTAGTTATTAGTTTGGGTTACCGGTGCTGTGCACAAATAGCTTTTGTCTCCTTCTATAGGGTTTTTAAAAAAAATACATCGCTTCTCCATAGCGTTTCTGTCCGCAGCCCCAAATCTAGAAATGTTGGGAAAAGCCCGAGAATCTTGCCAGTTTCAATAACTTTATGTATGATTTGCTAAAATGTGCGTAGCTGTTTCTGAATGATTAATAGATAAAGACCTCCAGCTGGTTTCAAGAATATGCCTTCTCTACTAAAAAAATCCGCACTTCTTCCACCTTCCGTCTTTTGACGAGAATGACGACCAGGACAGCAGCAATTCGTTATATTCTATTTCCTCCTCGTTATTTATTTAATTTCGTGCTGGAAAAGTGGAGAAAACGCGATTTTATTTTTCACTCAATTCAGCAATTATTTTCACATAAATTTCCGGCTGCAGAACTGGAAACATTATTTTAACACGTTTCCAGATAAATATAAAACATTCCTAATTTGAACCTTTCCATGCAAGCCGTAATGCGAAATTTACATTTTAAACGCTAAAACATTCAAGTACAAATCACTCTGCTTTTACTGTTCGTCATTTAAATAGTCACAAATCGCATTCAGAATTTTTTCCACCACATCACAACCACCCAGTATATCTTGAACGACAACATTCGCTAGATAATTAATAGAGTTCGCTTAGCTGTTATTAAAAACTAAGAGAACCATAACAAAAGCCTGATCGAAAACTTAATGTATTGGAACTGGCCCTTAATTGGAAAGCTTTATTCAAACGTTCTGCTTTATTTTAAGCTCCATTTTACCGAAAAGCAAAAAGCCCACTAAGTAATTAAGTTGGGTGATTAAATTCAGAAGAAATTTATAAAAAAATCAGACAAAAAATCAGCTAATTTGACGAAACCTAGTTTTGGGACTCGGGGTCAATTATGTATGGATTTATGTAAAAATTAATAAATAATACTAACCCAACCGCGGCCAAATCCGGTTCGCAGCCATCGGTTTGGGGCGGCGGCACCATCCTGTGTTTGCATTTCCCTAGGACGAAGCTGGGGCCCTTAAAGAAGGCGCCCAAAGAAGCGGCGTCGCGACGCTCATGCAGCTGGCGCCCGTTCGCCACCGTAGCTGCATTTTCACTGAGTCCTTATCATTGCTGGCTTGTGGGATACAACGTGCTTCTGGTCAGTAATCGATTTGTGAAGGTGGAAAAAGATGCGCAGTGTAGATACAGAATTGATAATCAATATCGATCAACCATGGGTGTCGATTCCTAGCAACTTTCGGAAAGGGTTTTCCACTTTTCTTTTGCTCGCCGGTTTGTCTAGAATTTCCTCCTGTCGCGGGTTTTCAAGCCGTAAGAAAATGCTCTACTGTGCATGTTTTAAATTGCAATCTTGTTTAAAAAGTGTTAAGGGATGATATTTCGTAGATTCAACTTGTTTATTCCTTATAGTGTATGTTTTTATTCTGTTTTACTGAAAGCATTTTTTTAACCGATAATAAATTATTTCAAAGAGTGACAGAGTTATTTTAACTGTTGGTTCCAAATCCAGGTCTAGACAAAATTTAATGTATGGTAAAATGCAATATTGGGGAGATACGGGTATCTTGCACCATTATTTGGTTCATTTATTACTTGTTATTTTCATTTGAAAATAGCACGTATTTTTTATAACTTAAATAGATTTTTTGCTAGTTCAGGTTTGCATATTTCAATAAAACTTTTGCCTGGTTCAATTTTCAAACGTTTTCGTCCATTTGCATCCAACTTGTGATATTGCAATCAGCCTTCGCCGATTAAGCGGAACGAAAGCAGATGCTCACAAAATGCGAGAGCAACTAGCCGGAAATAATAAAATGAATATGAGAAACAGTTTACTTAACTAATATTTAGAGCAAAAACCTAAGAAAAATCAACTTTTTGAAAATTTGATGTGGTAATGAGTAAATCGCTCAAAATATCTGAAATCATTTTTACCGCAACAAAGTAAGGAACCGAACGAACTCATGAATAAATGCGCTGAACCGAAATATCCGAAAATGAAATTTTACAGTTTTCTACTAGTTTCGATTTTTAACCAAGGAAATCTGTTGTATCCTGTTCTCAAACACGCAAATATGCAATATCTGGAGGCGTTTTAGAACTAAATCAAACAATTGACTCTACAAACCTTTTTAAAAATTTTGTCTTTTTGTAGACTATATCGCAGAGCACGACTTGTTTACGATTTCTTCGAAAAATCTCGACTGGCGTAAAATAGCGCAAATTCTGCATCAAGTTTATTCTAAGGATACGAGAAATAAAGCAAGCTCATAGAAAAGCTTGTTAGACTCTTTCGATCTAAAATATTCACGAATTTTTGCTCGATTTAAACGGTTTTTAAGAGGTCACAATCTTTAACCCGCGTTGCCTTATTTATTAGAGCTCTAAACACTCCATAGATTCATAGTGAGGTGTTTTTACAATCCGAACTATTTGCATTGAACTCAAAATGACGGATTGCGGTGTTCGATTTTCTTACAACATTTTTTTAAGTTTAAAGATCCCGCAAGTGAAACTTTGATTTTTACCCGAAAAAATTTACCAGAACGCTCCATTAGCTATTTTTGCGAAAAAAACTAACTAACTTTTGTACCATTTTGCCCATAAACTATCACGCAGTCAGTTAACTCATTCCAAGAGTAATGGACAAAAGGCAACCAGAAAATTATAATTTAGAAAAACTAAGTCACAAAAGCGGAAAATTGGATATTTCTCTTGAATTTAAAATAAATTTTTGAGTTCAAAAACCCCTGATGTAAAACTTCGCATTTTACCCGAAAATATCACAAGAAAACTTTCTTAGATAAGTTCTATATTGTTGAGGCGGATTCCTTTTTTTTACAAACTTCTTTTTGGGTATTTCGCCTCAAAAATTTTTCACCTCAAAGACAGAATTTCCTCACGTCTTTTATTACAGATTGATAAATAGTGCTCCTATTTCGCAATAAGAACGAATTATTTATCAAAAAGTAATCAAGAACTAAGTGTGTGGCAGGATACCCTCTAGGTGATAGTTCTTGATTACTTTTTGATAAATAATTCGTTCTTATTGCGAAATAGGAGCACTATTTATCAATCTGTAATAA